TTCGTGAAATCTATATCCATTTTAGGGTAAAACACTCCCGGTTTGTACATTTTAAAAGTATTATATAATGGGTATATATACTTTAATATGTACGTAACACTTCCAGGAATAACAAGCGGTGAGTCCGTTCAACTGATGCACGTGATTGATAACACATCGGATCAACTCTGCGATATCACCTACCTGCCGCGATGGACCAACATCGACAGCAGCAACAACAGGCTGTTCATTGATGAGAACCGTAACCAAATAACGGACGGCTACTACAGTGTATGCTCGCTCAGCGATAAAGTCTTCGAACCCGTTGGGGTCGAACTCAAAATTAACGACTCGAATGGCACGGTCGTGTTAACCGAACCGAATCGTTCCCTTCACGGCAGTCCAAGAAATTAACGCGAGGTACCATCTCGGAATTGAAAGTATGTATTTTAGAGATAAAACATAATCCTGTGAATATAGGGTACCTCAGCATGACGCTGCACATACGATAATGACTAGCGCCCACGGCCCAGGAATGCGATTAAGAAAATGTGCCAACCTAGCGATCTCCGACCTCGGGGACACTCGTGGATTTGCCGACCCAGGAATAGAAGGTAAACTGTACGCCTTGCAACTGAAAAATAACGTTTACAAAGGCGTTGAAGTTGCTGACGGACCCGACAGCACTTTAAGTGGTATTGTCGATACCTCAGGAGCTGTTAGCAACACTCGGTATGGCCTAGTCCGCAACGACGAGGACGAACGGACGATATACCCAGCGTTCGGTGGCAAACTGTTCGACCTTGACAACGTCGAGACCACGATCGTCGCTCGAAACAAGCAGTACAGCCTTGTCTTCACCGACGGCAACAAATGGCGTTTGGTACAATCTCGAACCGACTGGTTTCTCAACATCACTCTCGGCACTCCCTACGTGTTCACAGAAAACAAAGACCACTACCTAAACAAAGTCATGAACAACGGAACGCTGCTCGTGGTTTATGTCCCAACGCAGAGATGCACCGTGGTCGTTGAAGCCTTGTCGCGTCTTGATGTACTCACTCACATACTCAAGCAAACCAGGGGCGCAAAACGTTGGATTGCAAATAGTGTCTAAATTCGACAGCATGGCCAACATCCTGGAAAATATACCGGAGAATTCCACGCTGATCATCCAAGTCTACCTCGGTGAGCCATCGTCGCGTGAAGTCGAAATCGTGAAAGGAATCAAACTCCGGTGGGCCAAACAACATCAATATCACGTTTGTTCTGTTTACGTGCGGGTGAACGCCCATTTCCACACCAGTCTGCAGGGAGTCACTGTGACCGTGGAAGACACGATATCACTCACCAAAATTTTCCTACCCGACAACTTACATTTCATGGGGTTAAAGTGCACACCTTAGAAATTATCAGAAAAACAATTGGAAACTATTTTATAACATTTTATATAGGCGATGAACAATCATCTTCCCAACGTCACACTCGGTGATCTAGGAGACACAGAGGGATTCGATCTGCCTGGTGAGGAAAACACCTTGTACATCCTACATTTGAAAGACAACGTGTACGAGCGGGTGTCTCTGACAGACTTTAAAGAGCCTGAATGGTTGATCAACATAACCCTAACATCTCCTTTAAAAAAATGGTTTCTGTCTCCGAAATTAAGAACAGCGATGGACCAACATCGACAGCAGCAACAAATAGGCTGTTCATTGATGAGAACCGTAACCAAATAACGGACGGCTACTACAGTGTATGCTCGCCAGCGATAAAGTCTTGAACCCGTTGGGGTCGAACTCAAAATTAACGATTCTGAATGGCACGGTCGTGTTAACCGAACCGAATCGTTCCCTTCATGGCAGTCCAAGAAATTAACGCCAGGTACCATCTCGGAATTGAAAGTATGTATTTTAGAGATAAAACATAATCCTGTGAATATAGGGTACCTCAGCATGACGCTGCACATACGATAATGACGGCCTAGAGGAATGCGATTAAGAAAATGTGCCAACCTAGCGATCTCCGACCTCGGGGACACACTCGTGGATTTGCCGACCCAGGAATAGAAGGTAAACTGTACGCCTTGCAACTGAAAAATAACGTTTACAAAGGCGTTGAAGTTGCTGGACGGACCCGACAGCACTTTAAGTGGTATTGTCGATACCTCAGGAGCTGTTAGCAACACTCGGTACGGCCTAGTCCGCAACGAGACGAGGACGAACGGACGATATACCCAGCGTTCGGTGGCAAACTGTTCGACCTTGACAACGTCGAGACCACGATCGTCGTTCGAAAACAAGCAGTACAGCCTTGTCTTCACCGACGGCAACAAATGGCGCTTTGGTACAATCTCGAACTGACTGGTTTCTCAACATCACTCGGCACTCCCTACGTGTTCACAGAAAACAAAGACCACTACCTAAACAAAGTCGCGGAACAACAGAACGCTGCTCGGGTTTATGTCCCAACGCGAGAGATGCACCGTGGTCGTTGAAGCCTTGTCAGCGCCTTGATGTACTCACTCACATACTCTCAAGCAAACCAGGGGCGCAAAACGTTGGATTGCAAATAGTGTCTAAATTCGACAGCATGGCCAACATCCTGGAAAATATACCGGAGAATTCCACGCTGATCATCCAAGTCTACCTCGGTGAGCCATCGTCGCGTGAAGTCGAAATCGTGAAAGGAATCAAACTCCGGTGGGCCAAACAACATCAATATCACGTTTGTTCTGTTTACGTGCGGGTGAACGCCCATTTCCACACCAGTCTGCAGGGAGTCACTGTGACCGTGGAAGACACGATATCACTCACCAAAATTTTCCTACCCGACAACTTACATTTCATGGGGTTAAAGTGCACACCTTAGAAATTATCAGAAAAACAATTGGAAACTATTTTATAACATTTTATATAGGCGATGAACAATCATCTTCCCAACGTCACACTCGGTGATCTAGGAGACACAGAGGGATTCGATCTGCCTGGTGAGGAAAACACCTTGTACATCCTACATTTGAAAGACAACGTGTACGAGCGGGTGTCTCTGACAGACTTTAAAGAGCCTGAATGGTTGATCAACATAACCCTAACATCTCCTTTAAAAAAATGGTTTCGTCTCCGAAATTAAGAACAACGGTATCATTCTCACGTCTTTCATTCCAGCGGATAATACCCAAGCTATACGAATACCAGGTCACTCGGGCAACATGTTAGCTCCAAACGATGAATTTGCATATTTAAGGTCCGAATCACCCGATTACCAGCGGGGGCTTTCGGTTATGGAGCCAGACACCACACTCATCATAGAACTCTATCTCTGGAACACTCGTAACAGGGCAAGCCCTTTACAGTGGTTGGTAATAACCTGGGAATACAGGCACAATTACCAACGTTGCAGTATCGTCGTACAACCAGGATCGGCCCCCTTAGTAAGCCTCGAGGGGGTCCGTATTCCGGTCCAAGATATGCCTATTAATGCCTCAGTGATTACCGTGGATGAAAATCTAAACCTTATAAGCCTCAAATACATTGATAAGAAATTAACGAAAAACCAATTAAATTTTATCTTATAATATATAATACACAAGCACAGGATGGGACTGTACCCAGTCGTAGAAGAAGTAGCAAAAACACTGGAAACCGTAGATGGATTTCGGTTGAAACAGTTATGTGACATAAAACATGAACTCGAACAAGATCGCGACATACGGGCAGCATTATGTAAGAAATACCATAGGGTTTCAATTTCGTGGACGGGGCCGATACCACCCTTATGACAACCAGCATGGGATTTGGAGCGGTGGGTGTCGGGTTGTTGACCACCATCGTGGCCGCACCTATAGTGCTAGGTATTGAAAAAACAGCTGGGATATCAGGGTTGGTGGGGTTGGTGTTTAAGTTTGCATCTCGCAAGTTACATCGTAAAGCATTGAAACACGACGAAATTAGAATTCTAGCTGAAGCAAAGTTAAACACGGTAAGCGACCATATTTCCACCGCACTCACGGACAGTAAAATCTCAAAGGAAGAGTTTCGTTTGGTCCTCTCTGAACTCACAAAATATCACAAAATGAAACAAGAGATTCGGTCCAAGTCTCAGAAAAGCACTGTCATCAGCGAAGACGAGAAAAAAAAGTACATAGAACAAGGGGTACAACAAGCTCGGCAAGCCTTCAATACGAAAACCAAAGAAATAAAGCTTTACAGAGGCTTTTGGCAAAAGTGATCTCGTACCCCGGGTGTATATACTACTAATAGAGTCACACATGAAGAGCCTACAGAGTGGATCTCTCAAATAGAGTCACACATGAAGAGCCTATAGAGTGGATCTCTCAAATAGAGTCACACATGAAGAGCCTACAGAGTGGATCTCTCAAATAGAGTAACACATGAAGAGCCAATAGAGTGGATCTCTCAAATAGAGTCACACATGAAGAGCCTACAGATTGGATTTCTCAAATAGTCACACATGAAGAACCTATAGAGTGGATCTCTAAAACAGAGTCACATATGAATAGCTTCCAGACTTTAGGAAGAGATGATCCACTGCAGTTAAGCATATATTTGTCCCGGTGCCCCAAACCTAATGTTCAAGTTCACGTTATTAACAAGTATACTTATCTTACATCACACATAAATGTCGCTTTCTGATTGGCTGAGAGCGCTTCTATTATTTTCAATGTACCCCGCTGTCAATGGCAACTCATTTGGTACTTCGTGGTAGTAATTCTTTACTCGAATTACATTGAATCACGTAGGATGTACGAGAATTACCGATGTTTTGCGAATGCAAATCGATGGAAGGGAGATAACTCTAAATCTGTTTTTCCTGTCAGCAAAATCTAGCGATGGCTACAAAAAGATTTGTACTCGAAATTAACATTAAGGTGTTAAGATAAATCTCAGGGAACATAAACAAACATCGAGGGTACATCAACCCATGCCCCCTCGTGACCAGTGAACAACTTATAACATATACCTCACCCACATTGTATTTTGTTTTCACTGCTTTTTCAGGGCTTATTCTTACCCTGTCGGGAGTTGCATCATCGGCGAACAGGTAGCGAGGTAAGCAAATTGGTGATATCTACTGAACAAATTTGTGTTGCGATGATTTCACAAGACACTCGTTAGCATTAACAAGCAGATAGATTTGGTTAAATGTAGTTGAATAGTATGTAGTATGAATTTTGTCTAACGCTTACTTTTGTCTAGATTTATGAAAAAGATAACAGGGGTATGCAGATATAGTTCACTATTTAGCATTTGTTCCCAGGGTGTCGGAGAGTAAAAACAAGGACTACCCCGTCGGATGCCTGGTGCAGATGCAATCGGGGTGGCGTTCACGTACACTGGTCGACCCTTCAAAGCCAAAAGACTTGGAAACCATTCGTTTCCTCAAAGTGCCCGATCTTGGAACACTGGAGCCATCTCTTGCACTGGGAATCTTGGGGATGCCAGGGTAGGTGTTCTCATCAACAGTGGATTGGTTGGTTTGTTATTTAACGCCGCACTCAGCATTATTAATCTAGATCTAGAATACAGATCTACGCAACTGGGATACCATGACGGCTAAGTGTCGCGCATCGGCGATTTCGGCAGAAAACGTGTTTACCACGAGAATAGGAAACCCGCGAGAATAGGAGACCGACCTATATATCATAGAAAGAGAGTCCAGACAACTAGACAAACTAGTGGTTGATATCAAGACAAACGTCCAATGTCGTCGAGTACGATGACGTGAGTGTTAATGTCAATGAATGTGCCACTTGGATTCTATTTGAACAGCGTGAACATCCCCAGGTTGTGATATTTTGATTTCAGGATGACAGCCTACTTCGGGTTCCTGGAGATCTGTCAGCCAAAGGCTGGAGAGACTGTACTGGTTAACGGTTCCGCGGGAGCGGTGGGCAGTCTTGTCGGACAGATTGCCAAGATGAAGGTGAGAATATAACATATAACACCAGTGTAATAGACTGAACTGCCATATATCACTGGGTCGCTCTTCACTGCCAAAGTGGACCCGTGAAGATCCGGGTTAGAATAGGTCATCAGCAACCCATGCTTGTTGTATGAGGCGACGAACGGGATCGGGTGGTCAGACTCGCTGACTTGGTTGACACATGTCATCGTATCCCAGTGGCGTAGGTCGATGCTGATGCTTTTGATCACTGGATTGCCTAGTCCAGACTCCATTAGTTACGCTATATTCCTGGAATATTGCTGAGTGCAGCGGTTAATCCCTGGGGCACTTAGAGAACCATACCAGCTAGCGCGAGCTACTTTCTCTGGCGTCGGGTGTAAGAACTTTAGCACAAGCGTAACTATCTCTAGGCATTGCTGGACTTTTATAGGTCCCGGCTGGTATCTACCGAGTTACTTCTGGAGTTACGTCTTATGTCAGGAGTAGTGCCTCAGTGCTCATTGTTGCCTTACTAACCAAGCTGAAGTTCCTGGCTCGAGAGGGTCAAAGTAGTTGCCTACGAGGTGATAACTGGTCACACAACCGACAGTCTTTGCATCTTGTCGATTGTCTGAAAATGGTTTTAGTTATCTTCAGTAATAGCGGTTTTACAGAATGATGCTTAGCTAATCAGATTGTATATTTGCTCATGGTTTGTGAATCAGCGAGGCCTTGTTTGAGTACATTGAGATCATAAGCCCCAGATCGCCTGTCTTTAGGGACCGCTCCCCCTTCCCATATTTTTTAATCATATTTTTTAATAGATTTAGGTACAAAATTGCTGGCCCACCCAATTCATGTTTACAAAATTGCTCCCACCCCCACCCCCAACCCACCCCCACCCCCCACACACACCCACACCCACCTCCCCATAACAAAATGGGTGACCCCCTATTAAAATCATCATCAACATCCATCACCCCTACCCCTACCCCAACCATAAATTTTGATCGGTCCCTAGTTACAGGGCTCCCTGTAAAGTTTTGAAATTTCTTTGCATTTAAGTGCATGTTGTCAAATTAGCTCAGAGATACTTTATTTTATTTTCCTTGGAGAAAATACGTTTTTCGGTTACTTGTTCCAAGAACGCAAAATGCTTTGCGTGCAGAACACGCAGGTCGAAAAATATGGTGCGTGAAATGTAGATCTACTTGCGTGAAACACGCAGGTTTTTGCGTTAACGCGAACACTGATAACTGATAACCAATCGTTTTAACGTCGTTTGCAGGGGTGCAAGGTGATTGGATTTGCTGGATCAAAGGAGAAATGTGATTGGGTGAAGAGTCTTGGATTTGATCACGTGTTCAACTACAAGGAAGTAGACATCGACAAGTCCCTGAAAGAGGCGGCCCCCGACGGAATTGACTGCTACTTTGATAATGTACGTACACCCTCCACCTATTGTCACCTCCAACGCCAACCCATAGTCAACACACTGTACCTACACCACCCACCTATTGTCAACATACTGTACGTACAACATCCACCCATTGTGAACATACTGTACTTATGTGAACATATTGTGAACATATTATCTGTAAATATTGTGAACAGCACCCCCTATTTCTGTATACTGAACGTACAACAACACCTATACGAACAGGGATAAAATACATTTAACATACTGCATCTACAACACCATCCAGTTGCCAACATACTATACGTACAACATTTTTCTATTGGCAACATACTGCAAGTACAGCGCCTGCCCACTGTCAAGATAATGGCCGCTTCTCGAAAAACGTGCAAAGACTAACATTGCAACTCTTATTTGCTTACTTAAGATACACATTGTATATCACATTTGAACAAAAAGATGAACTGTCCTTTGGTAGTATCTGACAAAGGACACAATGAAGTATGGTGGTGAACGGGGCCAGGGTTCATCACTAATTGAACCATCGAAGGCTAGGGCTGAAAACTAATTGGGTTGTAGAAGACCAGAGTTGAACACTGATTGGCAATAGGAGAACAGGGTTGAACACTCATTGACAGTAGAAGACCAGGTTTTATCACTCATTGGAGAGTAGGAGACCAGGGTTCAACACTCTTTGGGCAGTAGAAGACCGGGGTTCAAAAGCCATTGGGCAGTAGAAGACTAAGGTTCAACACTCATTGGACAGTAAGAGGCTAGGGTTCAACACTCATTGGGCAGTAGGAGACCAGGGTTCAACACTAAGTGGGTAGCGAGTGGGTGAATAGGAGTTTACGCCACATTTTTGTAATATTTCATCAATATCATGGTGTGGAACGCCAACCAGTGGATTAGGGCCATGAACATTAATTGGACAGGAGAACAGGGTTGAACACTAACTGGGACGTAGGAGAACAGGGTTGAACACTAACTGGGACGTAGGAGAACAGGGTTGAACACTAATTGAGCAGTAGAACAGGGTTGAACACTCATTGGGCAGAGTGTGTCAACATTTGAACAGTATTTCGGCAGTAGGGGAACAGTTATTAATTGTGCAGAAGATCACGCGTCATCAACATATTATGCAGGATAAGACCCGGGTGGTTAACAGTTGGGTAGAAAACAAGGACACTGTCAAATAAGGAGGCTAAAAAAAGCAGTTGGAGTCAATGAGGTTTATGACATTGGATAGTCTTCCAATAGTGTAGACACCTGGTCAATAACTGAAAGCTAACAACAAGCATATAATTTTACAGGTGGGAGGAGATTTCACGTCTACAGCACTTCAGCATATGAATATGTTTGGTAGGGTTTCTGTTTGTGGTGGTATCTCAGCCTACAATGCCACAAAGCCACCCATCGGTAAGTATTTATCGAGCAATACCCTACCCATACCCTCTTGGAATTTGTTGGATATTTGTTGAGATGTCTGTTTATGCATGTGCACCAAACTCCTGCTTTGTTTCCAAACGGTTTTATATCTATATTTAAACCCATGTAAGCCTTGTAGTCGTGTATGGTCCGAAATGTCGTGGTTAGTTTTGCACGTGGACCTGGTTCTAGGCCTTCAAACATTATCTAGACTTTGAGGACCATATCCAAATTAAAACAAAGTCATTTAAAATACGTGGCAAAATACCTGATATGTGAATCCACAGATGCTGGAGAGTCATTTTCTATTTGTCTATGACAGGAACCATGAGAGTTTGTTGTAACTTGATCATGTGCATTTAAAATTGCATCATCAGATAGAATGACCTCATCCTAGTGTCTCTTCTCTGAAAAGACGATTTTTGAGTACGACCCCCAACTATGATAATCAATTACGACATAAACATGACTATTCAATCATACTACTGGAGGAGGAACTTTAAGTGAAAACTCTTGGAAGGCTCTTATTCAATAATTGGACTGTTGGAGGCTTTTATGAAGATGTTTGTATGTCTCTGTTAATACATATTTTGTACATTAGGTGCAGTCTCATTAATGTTCGTGTTATTTGTCAGCAACATAGTCAAAAGGGTGAGCAGTGATGTAATGTGGAAGATGAAATCTGTATTTCCAACAGGCTTCCTATTTTCTTCTGTACATTCATGTGAATTTATTCTGTCTTCTCTCAGGTCCATATCCCTTCATGACGATCGTGTTCAAACAACTGAAAGTTGAAGGTTTCATCGTGCTTCGATGGTGGGACAGGTTCTTGGAAGGCAAGGCTGAAATGAAGAAATGGATAGATGAGGTAAGTATCTGAGTGCAAAAGTAACTATTCAAATATCATTTACTTATAACAGCGACTACACTTGACTAACCCCGTGCTTACAGTGGTGCGGAGGTCTTAAGTGAGTGAGTTAAAATTTAACGTCACATCGGCAATATCTCAGCCATATCGTGACGAGAACAATTTGATTTATATCAATATAAGAAACAAAAAATTCAGAACATAACAAGAAAAAATTGTGTCCAGGGACACGGATGCCACCGCTGCGTAGGAAGTGTTCCCTACACTGAGCGTGCTCTGGTGATTAATTTCTACTAAATAAATATCATGGTTGATCATAAAATAAATATATCCAAAGTGTCCAAGGTAAATACTTATTTGTAAATGTATGTCACAATGAACTTACCACAGTACAATTAAACCTATATCATGAAGGTTCATGGTACAAGGGTAAATAAACTAGCAATAGCAATATCACTGTGGAGGCAAGAGAAAGCAATAGATTGCTGTAGAAGCAAAAGTGGTACATTTTGGCATGTTCTGGAACATATTCAATATGGCAGGTTAAAAGTTAACTGTTCAATGACAAGATATTATTGCATACCTCACACTGTTTATCTGTTTAAGTCCATAATTATTTCCGAGGAGTTGAGATGGGCTTGTTTGTTAAAAACTGAGCAACTGAGAGATTTTTAGTCATAAAACAAAGATTGATCAACATTGAGATGATGTAACTCCTGAGGCTTGCATCCAATGACTTTGACCTGGTGTAAAATGTTCCATCTCTTCAGCTGCTACAAATGCAGACATATGGTGAAATGATCGGAGAAGTAGTTAGGAAGTATATCAACAGTGAGCTGTTCATTGTGTGAAGATTTGTAGACATGGTCCAAACAAGATCCATAGATGGTTGTGGCCTTGGTTACGCACTGTACAAATCCAAGAGCAGTCATAACATCCTCCAGTTGTTTTCCCTAGGTGTCCCTCTGTCAATATTGAAGTCACCAAGCACTAGACAATGATTCAAGCTGCTTTCTGGCAGTATTTTCTCAAAACATTCAGAAAGTCACTGACATTTGAGATGGAAATCTGTAGAGGAAAAGAATGTTCTTAAACTTTGGATTGTAGTGGACAGATACAACAAGAGCTTCACAGAAATGTGTTTCTGATCTGTTATGGAGTGAAATGTCAAGTGATGATTTGTAATAGAGAGACAATCCATGTATGTTTGTGGAATGTCTTGCTGGTATATGATATGTTTGGTATTCAGAACGATGATAATTCTGCAGCTGATTTGCATAGAAATGGGTCTCAGAAAGGCAAATGATATCTCCAGCTGAAATCACTGGATCATTCTGTATGTCCAAAAGTGTAGTTTGGCAGATCAAGCATTTAGCATGGTCACTTGGAGAGTGTTGGATGTACCAGACTCAATTGTTGGAAAAGGGTTCTGTACAAGGGCACTTGCTTCCAGTCTCATCATTTCCTTTGTGACAACAGAGGAGGTCTTAATTTTATCCTTGCTGAAGTGAAGAAGTTTCATTCCAGACAAAGTCTTTGCCCGACTGAGAGAGCTACATAGGCTTGACCATATCCATATTTCTTTTCAAATGAAACAACAACTTCCTCCAAAGTTTGTCCCTGAATCTTGTGCACTGTACAAGCCCAACACAAGCGTAGTGGAAACTGTTGTCTGATAACATGCAGATTAGGTTTGGACCTTGTAAGTGAAAATTTTGTGTCAATTGGCTGGATTGGTACAACTGATTCCTCATAATCTGGAAAGGTTGAGAGTTGTTTTCAAACGAGCATTCACACCTGTATTGGGGCTATCAAATTGAACAAGAACAACCACTGGCACACCTTTGTTCTGTTGCTGGTAAATGAAATCAACCACTGTCCCTTGTGAACCATTGACTAAGCCATCAGATACATCCAAATTTCTTGTCAGCATGATCCTGGCTCCAACTGCCAATCTAATAATCTTGGGCAAACCTCCAGTGAACTGCATTTTTGTTGGAATAGGAAACTTCCGAAGTGCTTCTGGTGCACTGTCCTTGGCAAGTATGTCTACAATATTTGCACCAAGTCTGATTAGCATTAGCTCATTATGTGCATCAACTTCATAATTTGTTGCAAAAATGTGTAGTGGATCTTCAAATGACATCAAAGATGGATGAACACATCTGGTCTTTAGAATATCAATGTCTTGCTCAGTAAAGGTACCATTTCTTATTCTGTTCAACAGCTCTGCAAATATGAGATCTTCCTTTTGTCTCATAATCTGTGTCAAAGGATAAAAGACAAACTGATCCCACAAATTTCCAGAAAGTCGTGCATAATCATCAGATGGTGGTTGAAAGATCATCCTTTGTGCAACAGGGGGCAATTGGTACAGGTCACCAAATACAATCACTGTCAATCCTCCAAAGTCATGTGGACTGTGAAATAGTTCACTCAGTCGTCTGTGAAGCTGCAGAAACAGGTCACTGCCAACCATAGAAATTTCATCAATGATGATAATCTTTAGATGAGCTAATTTACACCTTAGAGTGTTCTTCTTTTCATCTGAAAGTCTATTAAATGAGGAATTGTTTTTCCCTTGGCCAAGAGGAAGACAAAAACCTGCATGTAATGTTAGTCCTTCAATGTTGTGAGCAGCTGTCCCTGTTGGTGCAAGCAGAAGTGTCTTCACAGCTGATGGATCATCCCCTTCCTTCCGTAGGGTGATCTGTGTCATTTGATAGATTGCCTTGATCAGATGCGACTTTCCAGTCCCTGCTCCTCCAGTCACAAACAAGTGTATGGGCTCTGGTAAAGTTCCTGACATTCTCTGTATACTGACAGATGTACACCAATTGAGAACAATCTGAAACACCTTACGTTGTTCTACATTCAGTGACTGCACATGTTGGCGATAGTCATCATCAGACCACATTGTTGGAAGGGATTCATAAGACTCAGAATGGGGTGTGTTAACTTCAGCGAGTGGGAGTTGTGTTCCTCTGTTAAAAGACAGTGAGTCTGGATCTATTAGAGCATGGTCTAGGTCTGGTTCAGTGCCTTCAGCAATCATATCATCATTTGCTTGTTGCAATTCAGGGTTCAGCAGATCCGAAGAGTTTGTAGGTATACCATTTTCAAGGAAGTCTTCTACTGACGCATCAATAAGTTCGGAGTATTCTTGTATGTGAGTCTTGTTTGCTTTGATTTCCTCAAGAGATATGTGATAACTGTCAGCATAGGTATGTTGCAACTGAAGAAGACTTTCTTCCTTTCTCCATGGTTTGAACAGGAAGAGTTCTGAATGATAGTAAGATTCAGGGTTGTGTGTTACACTAAACTTGTGGAACCTGATCATGGCTTTCTTTTGTCTTTTCTTCATGTGTTGGGTAGAAGAATCCAACTGAACTGTGAAAGTTTCGGGAGCACATTTGACAAGTACGTCAAGGTTGCTTGACAAATCACTCTGTGATGCAGCTGTGTCCATGTTTGTACCATCTTCTAGGATATCAGGTTGAATGTCTGGTTTGTCGTCAAATCTTGAAACTGACTTGTACCAGGAAGCAAACAGTGCTAAGCACCATGAGTCTAATGCAGCAGGTCTCTGAGAGTACTTGTCAGTGAGAGAACTGGTGAATATATCTTCACGTTCTTCTTCCATTGAGTCCAGGACATTAGTGGGCTTCAACAGACTAACCCTTTCATGTGGCAAGCCAGTAGCTATTCAGACTGTCTGAAAATCTGACTTATATAAAGGCAATCCTAGGACTCTGTAGGTTGCTTCTTGAGCACTAACTGACCGTGCATTAAGGAAAGCTTGGCCACATTTCTTCATCTGTTGCTTTATACCTTGACTTGATGCTTCCTTACTGACTGCCTGAAGAAGAGTTCCCATTTCACGTTCATCTTTGGTTATATAAGAGACCACATATTGTATACATGCATATGGATTGGCCGCAAACTGTATGTCCATATTTGCCTGCCATGCTTTAAGGATGTCTGGGTTATAATTGTTGATGCATGTTTCAGATGGCTGCCGTCTTAGGAAGACAGTTGTTGTGTTGACAGAGGTAAAAAGAGCCTGCTGATATTCATCTGTATTAGTAGATGACTTTGTAAGCACCTCTTCTAGGCTGAGATTATCTATGTCTGGTTCTTCTGTCAATGTCTTCTTTACTCTTGACAATACTTCACGAGATGACTTTTGAAGAGCAGCTTTTATTTCTGGTGAAATGCTTTCATCCTCAGGTGGTGTTGCCAGAAATGTTGATGTAGAAATTGGCCTTGGATAATTGAACCTACAGTTCTTGAATCCTTTCTGACACATTGCAAAATGTGCATGCCTTTGTAAGTGAGAGACAAGTTCATGCAGTAAAGGTGCATCATCCTGTGTTGGTAAGCAGCATTTCACATACTTGTCAACAAACGATGCTATCTCTTGTGGATCACTTTTCTCTGGATGGGGAGCATCTTTTATCCACAATACACCATGAGCATGTGGTGACCCTCTGCTGGAAGCTGGAATTCTATCCTGTAGAAGAAATGCTTCACTTCTCCAAGAGGTCTGGATTTGCCAAGGATGATGTGTTTCATCAGACAGTCGAGTCTGTATTGGAAGTGACGTGCTGCTGTTACTGGATTTGAACGAAGCCATGTACATTTTTCTTCCCAAGACAAACTTGCCACATCCTTGATATTAACTCCTTGTTGACTTGCTATAGCCTGGATTGTATCATTCCAACGTAGATCTGCTGCAGATAAGGTAAAGAACCAAGTGAAAATACCAAGTTGTTTGATGGCTGCCAGCAGCTTGTACTGTACTTTCTGCCAGTATGGTGGTGAACCTTTGACTGGTTGAAGAAATCTATAGCCATGGTCTTTCAATAGAAAACGTTTCAAAGTATCAGAGTTGCGCAGATGACCAGCTGTCAGTGGATCTCCAGAAGAACCTCGGAATGATTTCCTCAGAGCAATACTCATTCCAGACATAATATCATGCAACTCCACTAATGCCTGAG